CGCCGCGGGAACCTCAAGAGTAGTGGAGAGTCCAGCCTCTCTTGAGGAGTATGGTTTCAGAGCCCAAGCTTTACATGGAGGCAAGCCTGGCTATCTCTAGCCAGTACCTCTCCACCTCCCACACAAGCTCGGGCTCCTTCCCCACCAGCAAGGTGACATTCCATGGCCCCAGGGCTACGTGTCCAGAGATCGAAGGCCCTTGCCTTCGATCGCTGCCCAATCCACTTTGCACCAGCCCCTTACGGATCCTCCTGCAGGTGGTGGGCCCACGAGAGGACGTCCCCATGTTGCTCGTTTGGGCTAAGCCCAGCCGGGCCCCATGGGAAGAGACCCGGCCACCAGGCGCTCGCATTCGAGCCCCAACCCCGGGCCTGGCTCCAGGGTGGGGCCCCGATTGCGCCATACCGGGTAACGTCATGGTCCTTGATTTTGAACTTTTCATAAGGGGTCTTGAACCACTCTTAGTCTTACCTGTTTGCCTTGGGAGACCCTACCATGGGCATATAGCTCCCAACCACATAGCGCCTAGGATCATTCAGGTACTCAAACCCCTCCACCACAATAAGGTGGCAGTTCAAGGAGGTTCATATTGTCTATCTTTATAGATTGTCACCTCCAGCCAATCACAGAAGGTGCTCATGAATAATGTAAATTTTATGTTAAGCAAAATTAAACAGCCTGCTCGAGGAGAGAAGGGAATGTGGGCTGTTTGTAAAGATGGATTTAGAGAAATCTAAATACTGGATGAATAAAGTGTTACAAATATGTTTAAAATACACTCAATATTTATAAAAATGTGCCAAAAAGGCCTGTAATACCACTCACAGGTCTAGCTAAATCCATCAAGTAACTTAAAAAAAACAACTCTCAGGTCCACAAATACATAGGTGCCAGTTCTTTCAAAAATGTGAAAATTCCATTTTGGGATGACACTTGTGATAACCTACTCAATAGTTCATCATTTCCAACAACCCCAGTATAAGAGTCTACATATATTGCATACCGACTGATATGCAGATGTTCCCTCTAGTGCATGGTAGGAATAAAGCAAAATTGGACTAAATTAGTTTTCTGGATGCACTTGCATGCCCATGTTATATGCAATGATTCACAAAAAACTAAACTACATGGGGAAACCTTTTTGATCTTTGCAAGGTCTGACAGCAAGGAAACATCTTCCACTGGAATCTGCAGTCCATCCACTTTGGCTGCAATGTCTGACAGAAGCTGGGACTCATCTCTGCTGTGAACCAGGACCACCATGACAGAGTCATCGCCATCTGAGATTCCAAACTTTTTAAAGGCCTCTGAAATCTGTATTAGGGAACAAAACATATTATTTTCATTTTTAGTGTGTACATGTTACTGAATGGTCCGACCAAGAGCAGTCCCTAAACTAGAGCCTCTGTTATATGTGACTATTTATTGACAAAAAATAACCACAAACAGACACAAAGATGACTAGAGAGACAGACAAAACAACCACAAACATAAAATTTGCTAAAAGAGACAAAATAGACTTCCGGATCCGGTTATCATGTGAAGGCAGCATTGTCTCCGTCTCTCACAGCGACATCTTACAAACTGAACTTTTTTCTTCAAAACCTCAATTGACTGAAGGTGGAATATCTAGAGATTGAACCCCAAGCATTTTGATAAAATGTCGAAAACCACGAAGACGTCAAAAAAGGCCGACGCTGACACTGCTCCGCCGAGTAACAACCTAACAGTGGATAGCATAACTAGCCTGCTAGAAGACCACAGAACTAGCATCGCAACTGACTTCAAAACGACATTCGCTGCTCTGGATCTGAAACTCGACAAAATACAAGCAACAGTAACAGAACATGGTCAGCAAATAGCCTCTCTGGAATCTAACGCTGAGCTGCAGGACCAGCGAATTCAAGCACTCCAGGAGAGGTGTGTAGCGTTAGCTAATAGC